TTCAAATCCTGCTATGAAGCCAGAATTAGTAATATTCTCATGGGCTATTTTATGGCACTCATCAATATGATACCTGACTGCTTCTCAAACATTAATTTATCTTCACCGCATCCCTGTGAGATGAAGTATTATCCCCATTTTACAAGTGGGGAACTAAGGCACAGGGAGATTAAGGCTAAAATTGTCCACTGATTTTGGGTACCTTGAGATGAGATGCCTAAGACCAACCTGACTTTTCAGAGTACTTAGCATTATAACACTTCATGTTTGCAAAGCACAGCTCCTATTGACGTCAGATGTAGTTGTGAGTGCTCAGCACTTCTGCAGATCAGATCCGATCAGGCTGGACAAGCATAAAATTAGGTGTACGCAGTTAGTGACCACCTGTGAAAAGTTTTGTTCATGGGACTCGACTAGCATCAGATGAGAGTTCTTTGGCAGAGACAGGGTTAGAGGCCGGTTCTCCAGGGTAGTATTCAACAGCCTTAACCTCCGTTCTCTTTCTGCAGTCTTCTGCTTCATTCACTACAAACCTTCCAATTTCTGCAACAAATGAGGCAGAGGCTTCAGACAGCAGCCTCATTTACCACACAACTCTGACTGATCCTGAGAGCAAGTTCTGTGCATTGAAGGAGATGCTGATCTTGTGGAAAAAATAGTATGTAATCATGTGATTAAGGTTGCGATGTTACAGTCTTTAATTCTGCCTGTGCAGCCTTTAATTCTAGCACTTCCTGCCTTATGAGTAGGGCCCTACCAAATTCAGGGTCCATTTTGGTCAATTTCATGGTCATAGGATTTTTAAAATTGTAAATTTCATTATTTCAGCTATTTAAAGCTGAAATTTCATGGTGGTGTAATTGTAGGGATCCTGACCCAAAAAGGAGTTGGGGCAGGAGGGGGAATCACAGTTACCTCCCACCCTGTGAATCTGTATAGTATAGGGTAAAACCAGATTTCACGGGAGGAGACCAGATTTCAGTAGGTGATGCATTTTTCATGGCTGTGAATTTGGTAGGGCCCTACTTATGAGTGCTTGACTTTGCAACCTTAATTTTTGCTGTGTTATATATAATTAGTTTTTATCCTGTACATTGTCTAACAAATGAATTCTGCACTATTGTGTATGTGCATTATGGAACAGTCTGTGGTCATGTAACTAAAGCCTATATTTTTCCAGGGGACCCTTGCTTCATTCTGTGAACAGGAGGGATGGTGTACACTGAGAAATCAGGGTTGTTCACTGAATGAGGCTATTGTCTGTAGGATCTCTGCCTCAGTTGCTACAGATGCTAGGAGTGTAGTGAATGATTTAGGGAACTATAGGAAGGGCAAGGGTGATATACCTATACAATGTTAGCAAAGACTGAGGGTTTGTCTGCACTTGAAATCCTACAGCAGCACAGCGACAGCTGCGCCACTGTAGTGCTTCAGTGTAGACATTGCCTACTCAAACGGAAGGGCTCTCCCATCAACGTAGGTAATCCACCTTCTCTAGAGGTGGTAGCTAGGTCAATGGAAGAATTCCTTGATAGCCTAGCTTTGTCTCACCAGGGGTTAGGTTGACTTAACTATGTCATTCAGGAGTATGGATTTTTCACACCCTGAGGGACATAGCCAGGGTCGACCTAACTTTTAGTGTAGACCAGATCTAAAATACTGTGCATGTTAAAAGATCTATATACCTGTGCCCTAGACCAGTGTTTCCCAAACTTGGGACGCCGCTTGTGCAGGGAAAGCCCCTGCTGGGCCCGGCCAATTTGTTTACCTGCCGCGTCTGCAGGTTCAGCCGATCGTGGCTTCCACTGGCCGGGGTTCGCTGTGCCCGGCCAATGGAGGCCGCTGGAAGCGGCAACCAGTACGTCCCTCGGCCTGCACCGCTTCCTGCAGCCCCCATTGGTCGGGCACAGCTAACTGCGGCCAGTGGGAGCTGCAGTCGGCCGAACCTGCGGATGCAGCAGGTAAACAAACTGTTTGGGCCTGCCAGGAGCTTTCCCTGAAGTTTGGTAAACACTGCCCTAGACTTTTGATTGAGGAGTACAAATTTAAACACAACTCAAGTAAACATATGGTAATTTTTTTCAAAGTATTTAAAATTACCCATTGAATTAATCACTTGTCTACCTTGTCACAGAAATTATTGCTGTCCTGCAGAGAATTTGGTGATACATCTTCACAAAAAAGCATATTTTGTGTAAACATCTTTTCCTAGAAACGTTTGAGATTCCTGTAGTATTGGTGCTGCAGTTTACTTTAAATCAATATGAGGCAGTAGCTGTCATCACAATTAACTCAATGGAATTTCTTCAACCATTAGACATGTTTCTCTTTCTTCTTGCATATCTATCCAAACTATAAATGCTGAAATCTTATCATTACATAGTGGCACTCTGGAGTCAAAAGATTTAAATTGAAAATGACCTTGCAAATTGTGTTTAATGTTTTGAGTAAACATTTTTTTGTAGGAATCAAATCCAAAGTATCCAAGAATATTGCACTGAAAAATTAGCAAACGTTGATATTGTTCAATAGAGTAAACACATTTACGGACATTCAGATGTCCTTGTCTTTTAATTCTAGCACTGATTAACACTTCATCATTAATCAACACTGGTGGAGAAAAATCAGCCCCAGGTACTGGCCATTCAAGGTTTTGGCATCAGCGTAATGAAATGAATTTATTGAAGAATAGTTTTAAAATTAATTTTGGTGGCTGTTTTTTCCAGAGTGTATAATTAATTAGTTTATATTTTCTATCTTATTATTTCTTTGTTTTCCTTTGTTAGCCTTTAAAATGAAAAGATTTTAATCAGCATCTGTCAAATTTTCTGGCTTGCTCAAAAAAGTAAATGATTTTCCAACACGCTGTCAGAAATTAATGGGTACATCCTAATGATGCATGGAATTGTGATACAGCTTTTCTGAAACCCTGAACTCTCTGAAATGTCCTTATTGCTGAGATGTAGCGCCACAAATTATGTTGAAGTTTCTTTCATTGTTTTTAAAGAGTATTTTATATGAGACATGACCAACTGTGTGGTTCAACGATCTGTGTACTTGCCTTTCAGGCTAACCAACAGCTGACCTGGTTGATATCCTAATCCAGGGGTGGCCAAACTTGTAGCTCCGGAGCCGCATGCAGCTCTTCATAGGTTGATATGCGGCTCCTTGCATAGGCTCTGACTCCGGGGCTGGAGCTATAGATGCTAACTTTCCAGTGTGATTTGGCGGGGGGTGCTTACTGCTAAACTTACTGCTAAACTTACTGCTAAACTGCTTACTGCCCCGCCCCAGGCCCTGCCCCCACTCCAGCCCTTCCCCCAAGCCTGCCATGTCCTCACTCTTCTCCCCTCCCCACCACAGCCTCCTGCCCACTGCATAACAGCTGATTGCTGGAGGCATGGGGAGGAAGCGGGAGACACTGATTGGTGGGGCTTCTGGCAGGCAGGAGGCACTGGAGTTGCGGGGAGCTGATGGGGAGCTGCTGAAATATTAGTGTGGCTCTTTGGCAATGTACATTGGTAAATTCTGCCTCCTTCTCAGGCTAAGGTTGTCCATCCCTGGTCAAAGCAATTTGATCTTGGAAAAGTTCATCCTCAGCAATGTGTGCCTTTTCTAGATATCCAAATAGCTAAAATGCCATCATTGCATAACAATAGCGACAGCACTGCTGCTGCAGTTTAGTACTGGGATCAGGGAGAAGAGGTACCTCTTATCCAAATCCCCTGCGCCTGACAACCACGTTGTCAGTGTCTGCATTTCAGGGTCATATAGTCTGATCCTTCTCTTACCCCTAAGGGCACAAATCACCCCAAAAGGACAGAGAAGTAGAGCCATGGTTCTGCCCTTCACAGTTTGCAGAGATAGCTGGCTACAGAGAGAACACATTGCACCATTCAGAACAATGGTGCGACATGTGCAGGCTTCCCAAGCCTCCTGGACCTCGGGGAAGGATAGTCCACCCTCTGTACAATTCCTCCTGTAGTCACTCCAAATTTGGCATTTGGACAAATGCCATAGTCTAGCCCTTGGTGTGTTGAAATGGAATGGCTTCCTCCAATTGAAGCTCAGGGAAGTTGTATGGTTACTGACCCACATCTGTGTGGTTATTTTTCAATGGCTATCTAGTGGTTATATCTCTTGGCTCAACTTGCTCGGATCTCATCTTCCTATGCCAGAACAAATATGCCTCAGCTTCTCACTCTCACCCATTTCCAAGTCCCTTTAGTCCTCTGCTCTTCTGAGCTGCTGAACAAAGCTAGCCTTTCCATTCTCTAAAATGACTACTTTAAGAGGTGCTGCCAACATCACCACAATGAATCTTTCCTCTAAAAGATATGTAAATGGTGAACAGCGACTTGCTGGGCACTCTCCTCTCACAGAACTCTGCACAGAGCTGAACCACATCCAGACTGCCACTGTGAACGGAACTATTCAGACCTGGCCAGGTGGTGCTTTTCAGATTCTCTATGAACCTTTCAGAGCCACAGCAAAAGCCACATCTGAGAAGTCTCTCCAAACAGGGGCAGTAGAACCCCACTTCTTCTTATTGCTTCATTATGGTCTCTGCTGATGGGAAAGAATTTATTACTCCCCATCCATTTTTTAATAAACACTTAATAGAAAAAGTGTTCATTTCATTCAAAGGAGGAGGAAATAAGGCAGTTTAAAAAATATATAACTTAAATGGCTCATTTTGGGGGACACTTCTTCCAAAGCTTAGAAGAAGGAAAGCTCTGAAAATAGGGACAACAAATTTCAGAATAACTTCAGGATCCTCCTTAATTGTTCTGTAGCAACCACAGAATTTAACCTCCATAGTTTGTTTATTCCAGTTGTTTACAAAATAATTTAATAATTCTCCTTGTTTGAAATGCTCTGTCTTTTTGATCGGTTTTCCTAGATGTCCTATTGCCATTGTGTCTATGCACAGGTGAAAAACTTGTATGAGCAAATCTATGCAAAAATCAATAGACAGACACTTTGTTTCTGCCTTACAGGTGGAGAAAATGAAATCCTTCTTCCAAGGTTATACACAGTAAGTCTCCCTCCGGATAGCTACGTCCCAGGTAATCCAAGAACAGATAGTCCCACAAATGCTGAACACTCAGAGAGTAGTGGTGATGCAGCAGGTAAGGAATTGCTCTAAATGACAGTTTCTATAATACATTTTCTTTAAGAAAGATATGTTAACAACACAATTATCAAGTAAAACCTAACTGGAGTACCCAGGTATTTAACTCTTGCTGCCAGTGGGTGTCGCTGTTTTGCAACAAAAAGAAGTGCCTTTTCTTAAGATATGTGTCCACATGGGCTGACTTTCTATTTTAGAATTAAAGGGCCATATTCTGCACTTGGTAACATCTTTGCAATGCCACAGATGTTAATGAAGTTGCAGAGATGTAACTAAGGGTAGAATTTGACTAGCTCCTTCTTTTGTAGCTCAGGTGCCACATATGAAGAAAGAGCTCAGGTTAGCTGTGCAGTGAAGATGTACTCTAAGGGTTAATTCCTGCTGGAGTTCTCCACATGTACACAGCAACCAAGCAATGGCTGAAGCTCACCCAGTTGCTGATACTCAAATGGACAAGGGAGATAAACTTCAAAAGAATTAGTATCTCCCCCAGTATGGAATCAGGACTCTGGCTGACCTGTGGAGGTGCAGTGTGTGAAAATCCCAGCTTCTAACCTCATGGGATCTACAAGCAGGAGTCTGGAAACAAAGAACTTGAAAGCAATTTAAAAGAGCAGCCTGGGGAAATGGGATGGGGGGAAGGAGAGAGACACTGGGGAGAGAGAAGCAGACTGTATCTTTGACTTAGTCTACAGGATGAAATTCAATAAGGACAAATGCAAAGTACTTCATTTAGGAAGGAACAATCAGTTGTACACATGCAAAATGGGAAATGGCTGCCTAGGAAGGAGTACTGCAGAAAAGGGTCTTGGGGTCATAGTGGACCACAAGCTAAATATGAGTCAACAGTGTAACACTGTTGCAAAAAAAGCAAACGTCATTCTGGGATGTATTAGCAGGAGTGTTGTAAGCAAGACATGAGAAGTAATTCTTCCGCTCTACTCCATGCTGATTAGGCCTCAACTGGAATATTGTGACCAGTTCTGGGCGCCACATTTCAGGAAAATGTGGACAAATTGGAGAAAGACCAGAGAAGAGCAACAAAAATGATTAAACATCTAGAAAACATGACCTATGAGGGAAGATTGAAAAAATTGGGTTTGTTTAGTCTGGAAAAGAGAAGACAGAGAGGGGACATAAGTTTTCAAACACATAAAAGGTTGTTACAGGGAGGAGGGAGAAGAATTGTTGTTAAGGTCTGAGGGTAGGACAAGAAGCAATGGAGGTTTAGGTTGGACGTGAGGAAAAACTTCCTAACTATGCCAGTGCTTAAGAACCCTGACAAATTGCCTAGGGAGGTTGTGGAATCTCCATCATTGGAGATTTTAAAGAGCAGGTCAGACAAACACCTGTCAGGGATGGTCTAGATGATGATTAGTCCTGCCATGAGTACAGAGGACTGGACTAGATGACCTCTCAAGGTCCCTTCCAGTCCTATGATTCTGTCATTCAAAAGTCAGGCCAACACAGCTTCATTGGTCAGTGATGTGAAAAAGCACACCCTGACAGACATAACTATGCCAGCCTAACCCCAAGTGTGGACACAGTTAAGTCCGCAGAAGAATGTGTCCGTCAACTAGCTAATTAGTTCGAGGAGGTGTAGGCTGTGGGGAGGAGTTCAAAGAAAGTTCTTCTGTTGGTGTAGGTTGCATTTACACACTTGGGCGCTATGCTGGCACAGCTAGGCTAATGTAGCTATGCTAGTATAGTCTCTGTAGTGCAGACACAGCCGTGTTCCCTAGGAGGAGGGTACCAAGCGTAAGTCAGGCCTGCCTAAATCTTGAGGGAAATGCTAATCTTCAGTGTTTGTTGTTTTAACCCTTTTTTTCTTTGATTGGTATGTTCCTAGAGGTAAGTATGTAATACTTTGTGTTGAACAAGTTTTTCTCTGCTACTACATTTTCATGCTGTTCTCAGTCCGGGAGGGAAGTCTGTAGCACGGCCAAAACACCTGCAGAGTAACCTGCATGTAATGTGGAGACCTAAGAGATGCTGTAATGTGGAGACCTAAGCTCAGAATAGAGCGAATCATGGGATTTCCCTACAGAGAAAGAAGGGCAAGCATGAGCTTGTCACTTGAAAGAGGTGCCCTCAGAGAGAAGGAACGAGGGGTCAAACACATACATTACCCTGGAAATGTGACATCACAAAAAAAAAAAAGTTTAAGGTGATTTTTCTCCGTATAAAGACTGTGGACAGTACAGAAGTATTTCTCATTAAAATCCATTTGTAAAAACAAAATATACGCTAGCAAGCTTATTTTATTAAAATTCTGTTAGGATTTAAAAATAAAAACCAATTTTGCTAAGCCATTTCTCTTCTTCTAATTGCCTTTTAAGGTGGCTGATCTTCCCTTGTAGGAAGCTATTTGAGAACCAAATTTAAATTGTGCACTTTTTTCTTTGTATTAAATCAGACTTATATTCTGAATAAAAAGCTTATTAATTTGTTTTTTAAGATTTTATTTTAATAACACAATCATCATATGACAGGTTACTGGGTTTCTACTTTGCAGTGCATATAGTTAAAATTTCTTGTCCTAAGTTTCAAGGACTCGATGAAAAATTTCTGCTGACCCCTTTAACTTGGTCTCCTTTCACATCCCTTACACAGACAGGTGTACACACATGCCCCTTTTCCACATTTCACAAGCATGAGTGAATTAGGAATCCCCATGCTTGTGTGGCACTAACATTTTATAAGTGGAGAAAATGAGGCACTTAAATGACTTGAGAGTAAAACATGGGATGATAAAGATCGTCTACTGATTAGAGCACAGGCCTGTGAGTCATCTCAATGCCCTATGCTTTAACTATCAAACCATCTTCATTATGATACCAGTCCTGGACTACTGTGGTTATGTTCCTCATCTGCTGTTTAAATATTTAAAAGTCTAATTGAAGAAATATTTGTGCATATTGGATACCAATATATTTTATAATAATGAAGTGTAAAACGTACAATGGTATTATAGCTCCACCTTTAAAGATAGTACAAACATTGCATTCCAGTTTTTGCAATGACTGCTTTACTGATTTATGCCTCTCGCTTCTTAAGCATCCTTTCATTCTTTTTATTTTAAGTGAATAAATGTGTATATCTAATACATCTGTTTCACTTTGCCAGTTCTGAGCTCACTTTTGTGGTTTAAACTTACTTTTTCCAGTACTCCAAAATTTTTATTGCAAACATAGTTTCTCAACCTCTTTTGGCAAGGAGTGTTCGCACAGAACCACTCATTGACTATTCTGACCATTGGAAGGCAATCTCTGATTTAGCTAATGCCTCCGTCAGATGTTCAGAAGGAGTCAATATAGAGACTAATCACTTGTACAATAGTTGATAAATGCAATTGTAACAGATTAATACTAATCCGACAAAGATTTACGCATATGCCTAATTTTATGCACATGTGTAGTCCTGTTTGAAATGAAAGCATATAAACATCACCAGTAACATTAAATCCATGCATAAATCTTTGTGGGATTGAGGCTAAAATCTCAAAGAAGACTCAGACAGTATAGCAGGAACAGTTTAAATAATTGCACGGTGGGGATTTTTCCCTCGGCTTTTTTTAACTAGGTGTAGTTACAGGCTGTAAAAAATATGAAATACGTAAAACACTTTCGCTTAAGAAATTTTAACAGCATCCTGTGATATGATCCTTAGGGCAGACACAAAGCTATCCCATATCACTCTCTTAATGCTCTCTTGCTAGCAGAGTCTCAAAGCTCTTAACACATTACAACATATTGCCTAGTGACATTTTACTGGTGCTAATTGTTTTCCATTTCTAACTTCCTGGCTCAGGAAAGTTTGTTTCTTTCTTGATCTGTCTGAAAATATAGAATAAACTATAATAAATAAATAAATATAAATAATAAAATATATATAATATAAATTATAATAAATTTATATTATAATGATATGATTATAATACAATAGAATGATAAATAATATAAATTATATTATAAACTATAAACATAAATAATATAGATGTATAATATAAAATAATAATAAATAATAAAATATAGATTAGAATAAATATCTTGGACCTGATTCTGGTCTCAGTTATATCCCAGTAGTGACTCTTGAAGTGTAAAATTAGTGTGACAGTGATCAGAACTGGGCCCCAGGTGAAGGTTCACTATTGGGTGTTAACCCTCCTATTAATGGATGGCTGATTCTTCATATCAGTGGCTATAATGTTGCTTTGTAAACATATCTGTTGATGTTATAGCTAGATAATTCTTTTGTTATAATATACTGGTGGTGCCCCTACTAACGGCAACATAACACAACTTCTGAAATTAAGACAATTACATATGCAGAAAAGATTTTCTCTGTTGCAGCAAGCCCTTAAGAATAATTTACCCAGGCCAGACTCTGTCTATCTCCACCATCCAGATCAAAGCAGTTCAAATTGAGGAAACAATTCCCTTTTGGCTTAATTCCCATTTTATTTCCTACTTCATCATTTTCCGTTGTGCCGATTGTTTTATTTGGAATTTATGCCAGTAGTAAACAAGACTTCATAGTGGGTGTCACAGTTTAGGGCAACTGTATTTCCCCTCTGTGATCCAGCAAGTGCATCCACTTTAGACTCCCGGCTCCCCAGTTTTCACCTCTACTGAGCAGATACACATGTCTCTCTCCCTCTTGACCAGGATATTTCTAGGTTGCAGAGTTTCCTGTTTACTCTGTGAATTCCTCATCAAGAAAGCTTGCTTCAGCAGGCCTGCTTTGCCTTCATTCCTCAGAGGCAATATACAGTATGACTGCCCAGAGTTAAGTTTCCATACAGCTCTTTCTAAGCAAGCACATCTATTCTTAAGATGAAAGCATTACAGAGAAAAAGTATTGAAAACAATAAAAGAACCTACACACATGTTAATAAGTTTACGAAAAATCAGCCCAGCTCCAGCAAGGCCTCTGGCAGGTGAACAACTCTTCAACCTTCCTTTCCCCTCTCCCCACTCCCCTGGGATTTTTTTCCTG